AATATGTAATTGTTCTAAATATTGTTTTTAAGTCCTATTATTTTATCAGAAGAATGCAACTGCAGATTTGGAATATTGAGTAAAACTGGTTAGAAAAATCCTGAGAATTAAAAATCTCCAACACACACACACACACACACATACACACACACACACACATATATACACACACACTCTCTCTCTCTCACACACACACAAACACACACACACACACATAATTTGGCTCTAGGAAGGCACTAAGTTGCTGTCCCATGAATCCCACATCCTCAGGTCAGGCTTCTCCTGGTCCATGCTCTTACCTCCTAGTCTGTTAATTTTGACTGAGACATCGCCTGAGCATTCTGCTCTCTGCTCATCTTCATAGAGGTAAGGCAGCGCCTGCTGTGTGTCAGGCTTTATACAAGGTGTGCTGTGCACACTATCACAACCATGCAAGGAAGGAAATATGAATATCTCCATTTTACAGAAAGAAAAGAGAAACAAAAGGAACTCCACAATCACACAGTAAAGGGCAGAGCCATGATGTCAATGAGAGCCTCTTAAACTGCCCAGTGGCAATATCATCCTCCCTCAAAGGTAAAGTCCAAAGTCATCTGCTTATCTCTGACTATAAACAAACACACATCACCCGCAAAGACACAGACACACTTACAAAGCAACCGGATGGACCCTAGCTCCAGCCCTCACAGCTCAGGAGACAACATGCTCGTGCCCATCTGTGTGGATGAAATATTTTATTTTAGAAATAAGCTCTAAATTTCTGATCCTTTCCACTGTCCCTTTTTTCATTTCTGAACTTGATAAATAGTATCTACTTATACAAGGCTGAGAAAACGTGACAGAAAAGTAAGTTACTTTATTAAATGCTTTCCATGAATCCTCTGGCAGCTGCAGCCACCTACCACTGAGAGCTACAGCCACTGTCATAGGGGAGGCCAATGCTGATCACACAAACATTAGCTTCATTTGTAATTCTGGACTGTGTGGAAGTGTGATTTCAAAATGATATACATTACACAAGGAAAATGTATCACGCTGTAAAGAGAAAATTATGATTAGCTATATGATTGATATATATTTCAAAAGTGAGCCCATATTTTCACTCACGCTTTAATCCAACTATCCTTAAAGGAAGTTTTAGAGATTCTTCCTGATTTGAATATTGTTTTCAGAGCACCAGTTGACTGGGTGATTCTTGTTTGTGGGACACAGTCCCCTTTTCTGCTCTGCTCTTTCCTAAGCTCTGATTGCCTGTTTTAGGGGACAGGCAGCCATGGTCTCTAATCTCCTGTTCTCCCAAGTGAGGCTTCCCCTTTCCTCCCCCTGAAACTGTGTAAGTCATTTCTTCCAGGCAAGACATTAGGGAACTCCAGGCAACACTGGGCAAGACGGAATAAACGATCAAGATCATGAATTAAAAACAAATAGACCAGTGCCTTCTTAACTCTCAAAAAAAATCATAAACCTAAAGATCGGTGATATAGTAGAATCATGTTAAAAGAAGATAAAATGTAAAAGATAAAAAGATAAATGTAAAACATTTGTAAAATGTTCAAAAACTATCAGTTATCATAATTATTAGAGATTGCATAATATGAGAAGTCTTTACCTTTTTGTGTATTATGTGTAAGAAAAATAATCAGACGACTAGCAACTAGTCACCGATAATTTGGGAGATATTTAAAATGTTTGGTGGCTATGACTATATGCATATCCATCACTGGTGTTCATTTTGGATGGTAAGTAACATATTCTATTATGGTTTTGTTTTGCTTTTAACACTCACGAATCACATAACATCTGCATTGAAGAGGCCTGGATTTCACTTATCATTTCCCTTAAAATTTCTCTTATAGGGAAAAATCTGTAACCATTAGATTAAACACAATACAGTTAATTTTTAACATCTATCATTAAGTAAAAAGGCTAGGAATTTCGGTGCAGGAAAATTTCAACATCAGCGTTAGAGAAATGAGTTTAAAGGAAAATATGTAAGCTTCTGCAAAGGCTTAGCTTTGAAGGCTGCCTTTTCCAGATATAAAAATAGATGGCTAAAATGTAAAATCGATTCTAATGGCAAGTAAACCTTTGCACTCACTATGCACAGGAGAGAAACCTGAATATTTGACTTAGTAGCACCTTGGGAGTAGGCAGACCTGAAAACCCTCCAATAACCTTGGAAATCTCCACTTCTTGCAGAAGAGAATCAAATGGTCATATAAGGTGGCATATCTGCTCAGCCCTCTTTCATCCCTGTAAGTAAGTATCATGATTAGAAGATGTGAATAATTTTCCAGAATGCAGGTCATCTGTTCTAAGTACCCAAAACGTGAAGGGGTCACTAGGGTCAGGTCCCCCAGGGAGCTCAGGCTCTCTTCCAGCCAGGGGCCTGTTCACCTCCTCTGCTTTCTCTTGGATGAGGCTTTTCCTAGGGCATGGGAAAGCAACAGGTTCCAGGCTGAGCAAGTGGGACTACTACCTTCTAAACTCCCACACACTCATACTCACACTCACACATACTCATAACACATGTGCACACTCACACTTATACACTCACATTCACACAAACTCTTACACAGTCATGCACACACACACACCCAGGTTAGTCTCCCTGAACTCAGAGAGGTGTGGGAGTCCTGAAGAATGAGTTGGACAAGGAAGGCAGCCCCAGAATCTCCTGGGCAGACTCAGCTGTCCCCGGGGGAGGAAGCAGTTTGCGTGTCGGCCAAGGTTACTATCTTGTCACCCCTGGAATCCCAGCTCCTCCCAAGAAAGTCCAGGATCAAAGTGGACTCAGGCAGCCAGAGCCCCCAGCCTGCCCTGGGGTACAAGCCAGCCAGCAGGAGGTGAACAGTGTGCTGGCACCACAGAAGAAGCTGTGTAGGGGTCCCAGTGGGGAGAGGCAGGGCTGAGTCCAGACCCCAGTCCCTCACCTCCACCCTGGCTGCAGAGTCACTTGCCCCACACCCCGGGGCCAGCAACCCAAGCTGGGAATGCTGTGAGCCAGGTCAGCTCCCCTTGGGAGAGCAGAGTACTACAGCCCTACTGAAGGAGTTTGTAGCACAGGCCACCAGCCTTTAGTAGGACTGACAGGACCCCAACCCCAGCGGCTGTGGGGCTTGGAGGCAGGTAAGGGAGCCCAACCTGCAAGAGCCTATGCTCAGAGCAAGGTCGCAAGCAATCGTTGCTGGAACGTCATTCCGCCACTGGTGCAAGTCACAGAGTGGACCGAGCGGGCTGCAGGGAACCACCTGCCTAACTCTTCCAACAGTCACAGTGAGCTGCTGTCCCTTGGAGAGGGAGACGGGGGATGGGGAAGAGGGTGTCCATCCTCCAGGAACAGTGGGGAGGAGACGGTCGATAGGGGACTGGGAGGGAGGAGAGCGGTCTTTAACCTTAGTGCCACTCCCCAGGACCCCTCCCCGGTCTGCATTGAGGATCACAAATCATGCTTCATGCTAAAAGCCCCTTGTTAACTCGGTCACTAGCTTCCAAAATTCACAAATAGTAAATGTGCCAGGCACAGTGCCAAATGCTTAGGATACAAAGATGATCCCTGAACAGTGACACCCTCTGTAAGGCACCTGAAGAATCCCTTTCCGAAATCGCTTTTCAAGCTGGCGGGGAGAGAGGTACATATCCGCTTTGTGGAAGCTTAGCTCTTCATCTGTGCGAGTGAGAGTAGACCCCTGCAAAATGGAAACTCAAAATGCAAAGCAGAGAGGGAGGCCAGCACCCACCCGCGGGTCCCTCCTGCTGCCCAGGGACCCCGCCTGGCCACACCTTCTTTCCACTGGGAGCGCCTTTCTGGGTTTTCCGATGAGGTTTATAGAAAAGACATCTCCCAGATTCTTCACTCACGAAGTGTGTTACAAAAACTCTCCCGGTAACTGTCCTGACCGTCACCAATCACACTAGAGCCCCCATTCGATTGCTTGCACAAAGAAAACATTTAACACAGGTGTGATCAACCTCTGGCAAGATGCCGAGTCATCAACCTCGGTCAAAATGCAAAAAGGTGGCCTTTTCTGCCAAGGTCACGCCCTCTGTAAATGCAGTTACTACTTGGTGAAAGCGCTCTACGTCCTAGCTCTTGTTGGTGAGAGTGAGAGCAAGGCGCTGGGGTCCGTCATTCTTAGGCGAGGAATTCAATGTCACAGGCACGCACTGCCTGTTTGAGGAGAAGCTCAGAAACCGTCCCACTCCCAGAACGCAGCACCCAGTTGCTTTGCACGCCAGGCCAGTCCTGGGGAAACGGTGCAATGCTTGTCTGGGCGTCAAGGAGGCTCCCTTGCGGTCCTCCCTGAGCCCTTGCCAGTCCCAAGGAGTTCCAACCCTGCTTTCTAACCCTTTAAAATCTGGAGAGGGCGGTCGCTGGGGGGCGGGACTAGGTGTTGGAGGGTCTATAGCCTTAGTATCCAGCACTTTTGTAGTAGGGGCTTTTGTGGAGGTTTAAAACAATAAGTAAGAAACATCAAGGCGTGTCTCCCCGTACCTCGTCCCTCTTTTTCTTTTTTGAATGACCAGAGTCCTTCGCTTCTTCCTTCATGGTTGCTGGGATTTGGGGTCTGGGAGAGATGGCCTCTGGGCCGTCAGGACGCACAGCATGCTGTGCTTGCAGGGTCAATGGGGCGAGGGGCGCAGGTAGGAGCCTGACTGTATCTACGATGGGGACGCATTCGCCTTCCAGCCACAGCAATGGCCATCCTTAGTGCACAAGTCAGTACTCCACGAAAGAAAATCCACGTGTAACTAAATTCAACACAAACAGTTTCCAGCACATGCCCATCCCGAGCATCCGGTTAAGAGGTACCCCGATCGCGCGCCCGAGTGGGAAGTGAGAAAGCCCGGCTGTGCACCAGGGACAGCGCGCGTCTGACGCCGCCGGCCTCGCGAACCGAACCCCCGAGCACCAGAGCCCTTCACTTTGTTAGGAAGTCCCCCACCCGGGCGCCCCCCTCGTCCTCCTCAAGTGCCCTCGGAGAGCGGACCAGACTCACCTACTGCCAGGCAGATGGGCAGCAGCAGCCTGAAGATGAGCCCGCACACCACTTCCGAGGCCATCGCGTCGGTCCCGCGAGTCGGAGCAGAAGGGCGAGGCTTGAGGGTCGCTAGGGGTGGTGGGGCGCCAGGCCCATGCCCGTCTATGGTCTCTCGCCGCCGGCAGCTCGCAGCCACCCGAGCATCGCCTCGGCGCGGGCCGCGGCTCTCTCCGCCCCGAGGTCGCGCTCCCGGGGCTCCTGGCCGCCCCTCTCCCACCGGGCTCCGGGGAGCCCCTCACCAGGCTCTTGGCGGCCACCTAGCCCGGCGCCCGACCCCCTGCGCCTGGCCCATGAAGTGTGAATCCCGGATCCGGCAGCGGCGGCGGTTTCTTCAGGGGTAGCTGGTGCCGGGGTCTTGGAGGGACGCTTTGGGAGGGTCCTGGGAGGCGGCGCGGCGAGCAAAGGGGGCGAGAAGGGCGTGCTGCGCTACCGCCCGGCTCCCGGGGCGTCGTTCGGGGGCGCCCGGGGAATCTTCTCTTTGGAAGCCCCTCAGAAGCCACCGCGTCTCCTTCGCCCGGCCTCGTCTCCGCTGCCCACACGGGCTGCCGCGCTCTGAACTCGGCCCCGGCTCTCGGAGCTGCTCTCGGAGTCTCGCCCTCCAGCCCCCGGGCGGCCCGCGGCGGATCCCCAAGCGGCAGCGCAGCTCAGCCCCTGCGTCCCCCAGCTTCGGGCCGGAGAGACCGGGGTGGCAGCTGCCAGGCGCGCAGAACCATCCCCGCCACCACGGGGCTCGCCTTGTGGGTCCGGTCCACCCGCGGCGCCGCGAGTCCCGTCCTCACTCGAAGGAACGGCGCGAGCGTGGGCAGCAATGGAGACCAGAGCGCATACCGGGTGGGTGGGTCTCCCACTCCCTCCTCCACCGCCTCACTTTGAAACGCAAGAGAAAAGCCAGCGCCGTCCCGTCGCCCAGCGCGACCCCGGCCCGCCGCCTCACTGCCTGGCCCTCGCCGCGCAGCCGGGGCTCCCCGGCGGCGCGCGCTTCTCCGCCTTCAATGAAACTTTCGAAGCCCTCACTCGGGGACGGGCGTGTTCCGCGGCCAATGGGATGGCGGCTCCGGGGCCTGCGCGCGCCGAGCCCGCCCCTGAGCGGCCGGGGAAGGGAGAGCCCCGCACCGGCGCGGAGGGCGAGCCCCCACCCGCGGCTCCCGGGCCTGGGAGAGACCCGGCCTGGCCTGGCAGGTGGGCTGCGCGCCCTGGCTCGGCCTCCGCGGGCACTCCTGCCCCACTGGCTCCCGCGGCCCCGCGGCTCTGCGCGGTCCTGTCATTCCGGAGGTGCACCCTGGCATCCAGTCCACCCGGCCGGGCCCTGAGCTTGCCCAAACCAAGGAACCGTTTAAGGTCCGAGGGAAACGCACAGGCCCGGCAGGAGAGGAGCCAGGGGCTTGAACAGTGCTGTGCGACCCTCACTTCTGCTGGGTCCACAGGTCCACACTGGCATTAAGAATAGAGCCGAATTCATCCGCACCATTAACCCTGCCCGTGTTTCACATAGCAAGAACTTGCCATTCTGAATAGACTGGGAAATTCCGGGTTTTCCCCAACAGATATGCACCCACTTTGTGCATTTGGGGGAACTCTTCGTTTTCGCCTCAGCTTTGCTCCTTGCTTGCCGTGGCTCTGGGGAAAGAGAGCGTTGGCACTGAGAATATTCTCCCTTTCTCCTAGTGCACGCCTTTTTGCCTGTTCTAGGCAAGATCTAGAGAAATCTGGCTCTAGCTGGGAGACTGCAGTGTGCCTGGGTCTACTCGCTAGAGCACGGTAGGGGTCTCTCCGGACAGGGAGGAAGAGACTGTTAGCATCTGTAGAGAGGACTATTCAGGACTGGCGTTCCATCAGGAGGACCCACTGGGAAGGACCTGGCTTCCCTTCCGCACCTACATTCCTGGCTTACATTAGTCAGAGGGGATGGAGCGGTGAGCTGATGAAAAACATGCAAACCCCCGTCTTTTTAGCCATTTGAAACACTTTTGTGGACATCCCTTTTTTGAGACAGGGTAAGCTTGTGGTTTGAGCTCAGGTGACTTCACGAATTCTCCGAGAATTACAGAGAAACTATGAACCATTGCTTTTTGAATGAAGACTCAAGACAGTTGGAATATTGTGAAGACACCCTGAAACAAACCACCCAAGTGCTCTGCCATCCTCAAGAAACTTAGATAGCACCTAAATCCCGGCGTAGTCATGAGCTCAACAGCAGACCTACAGGAGAGGATAGAACTTAAATTAGCAGCCAGTCACCAAGAAATGCTACCAAGAAATGGTTTGTGTAGCCTGTTTGTAGAAACCTGATATAAATCTACCACTAATTTTGGTGTTCATAAGTCTGCCTTCACATCCATGCCCTCCACACCTCACCCCCTGTACGACTCGTTCTTGGAAGCTGATAGGTGAAGGACTTCTGAATTGTAAATAATATTGTGTCATCACATGAATTCTGTATTCTCTGAATACTTTCTCATGTTCTTGATAGGCTTTCCATACTAACAACTGTCTAGACTTTTTCACAATAATTATCTTTCAAAATAACATAAGCTGGGAGGCACAAGAATCCCAGCAGGTGGGTGGTCTTACCAAATACACTTCGGGCTTTCTCTGCCACAGTGTGTACCAACTTGGCTGTTCGGGCTTTAGACATTTTAACAACTACATCCCAGTTCTGAGACTTCCAATGTATATACTCAAGGGGAAGTTTCAGCGGTCTAGACTACATCTGATATAGGCTTCTCCATGCTGGCTACATGTTGCAGGCACCTGGGGAGCTTTTGAAAAACGCTCAGTCTCCACACTCCCTGAAATCCTGATTTAATTGGTCTGCGATGGGGCCCCCATACTTGTATTTTTTTTAAAGCTCTCAAGTGATTCTTAAGTATACAGTCAGGGGTGAGGACTGCTGTCCTCATTTACATATCGAACTCAGAAGACAAGAAGACAGTCCATTGGCTTTCAAAACCAGCGTCTCCAAACCTCACCCACCTTTCTGAAGCTGTATTTTCACACTGGACTTGACTTGAGCATACATAATGATAGCAGTGGCATTGTTTTTATAAGGGCTGTTTAACCCTAAATTTTCCCCACTCTCATAGAAAACAGTATCTGGTGTCTAGACAGGTTATTTTTAAGGACTCACCAGCCCATGAGGGTATTGATCACTGTTCAGGAGCTCTGCTTGCCTGGAAAACTTTATTCCAAAGTTTGCCAGAATCTTGTCCAAAATCTGAAAGAGTATGTGAGTTTAAAAATGCTTTGGGGAGAAATCAAACATGTAAAATACTCATGGACATATTCTCTTGATATTTCATGAGTACCTGATGTGTATAATCACCAGTTTAGCCCTGGTAATGAATTAAGCACCAGACACCCTATGCCTCTCTGCATCCACAGTGACAAACAATGACTTCTTTTGATCACTATTGAGACTGTCAGTGCCTCAGTTTCTTCATCTGCAAGTTAAGGAAAGCAGTAAAACCTACCCAATATGGAGTCCACACAGATAGATTCAGTTTATAGAGTTCTTAGAGAAATGCCTAGTGCATAGTAATCATTCAGTGAATATTGGCTGCTATTATTCCTATTATTGTTTATTGAAAAACAAGAACTAATTCTACATTTATCAAACAATTATGCTAAAGCCTAGTGACCTGCTGTGAGACAGATAGCAATGTTTATGCTCCCATCAGTATGTTTAAGAACTGATCAACATTTTCATAAGCGTTCAAGATTTTCTCTATAAAGAATATATCACTTTGTGCCTTGTGTGCATTTCATCTCACCTGTTTGGATTTATCTTTTTTTTTTTTTTTTTTTTTTTTGTGAGATGAAGTCACACTCTGTTGCCCAGGCTGGAGTGCAATGGCACGATCTCAGATCACTGCAACCTCTGCCTCCCAGATTCAAGCAATTCTCCTGCCTCAGCCTCCCAGGTAACTGAGACTACGAGCGCACACTACCATGCCTGGCTAATTTTTGTATTTTTGGTAGACACAGGGTTTTGCCATGTTGGCCAAGCTGGTCTCGAACTCCTGACCTCAGGTGATTCACCCGCCTTGGCCTCCCAAATTGCTGGGATTACAGGTGTGAACCACCACACCCGGCCCTAGCTTTTATCTTTTCTAAATTTGGTTTACTATTGTATTGATTGACAAAATCATTCAGAAACTCCATCTTTGTCCCAAACACTAATTTTTTTGTATCATGCTTACTAGGAAAACACAGATAATGTGTGTAGCCTGTGTCATGTTTAGCTCTATGTCCATTATTCTCTGGGATACTCTGTTAGCTTCCTTTGAAAGATCTCAGAGATGGATATTGTCCCAAATGGGAACTTTACAAAACAATGTCTCCCACAAAGAATATAAACTTTGTCAACCTGGCATTTTCTTCCTTCAGTGAAATCTGCCAAAATCCATTGACGCCATCCAGCCTGTGGAGAATGTGGTACCTCTTACCAACTTAATTAAGGAGAATATCTTCTAGCATTGGTCACATGTGTTTTTCTTACATATGTGTTAATAAAAAAATTTAAATATATATTTCTAGTTCTCATTTATAATTATCCTTGTGTCATAAGGCACAATATTTATTTGGAAGTTATTTTTGTTAGAAGCCACAGAGATTTTGGCTCTTATTCTTAAGAAAACTTGGAAGCTGAATGGCTTCCTTCTTTTTGCTAATATATGCTGAGGTTGTACATTTTTAAAAAGCTATCAATTTAATGTTTACAGCAGAAGTATTTTCGAAGTGTCCAAATTCCAAAGACCTAGACAACTTCTAATAATGTGTAGGAGACATGGTCTGGTTATATGTCTGCTAAAGAAGTTATCCCTCATCAGAGCAATGCACAGTGAAATTCACTGTCTCTGACATCTGGCCCTTCGGTGGAGTCTTCGTAAACCTACATAAAACGTATACCATAGCCTTAACTGCAGCTTGTGAATTGTAATATGGATGCCAAATCTGAAGCACACTGTTGATTTGTATCTGTAGTTCAAGAACCGTGACAAAGCAGCTAATCGACGTGTGTATGGGCCTTATCTTTCCAATTAGATTGGAGGATATGAGGACATGGATAAAATTTCATCTATAAAGCAGACTATAAAGCAAAATATTGTTTCCAAGTGAATCCTATTCTACTTACACACTTTCATTACACACACACACAGCGGCATGTGCGCGCACACACACACACACACTCACCCATAACCACATCAGAAACATCTCACATGAAAATAAAAGGACCATGTAAACTTGTAATTGGTTTTTGGAGGTCAACACATAAAGGAAGAGATTCCGAATTTGTGGGGCGGGTGCTCTGATGAAGTTGGTGACTTGCCTTGGGCACCACAGGCA